AACGCTATTTATAATATTTACAAAGTATTCTATGTGTATCTATATAAAATTACTTTTTCTACATTTTGTTTAACATTTTATTTTTGTTTTTATGGCACATAATGTATTGAGCTAAATTAACCTAAGACCCCGTAAAACAACTATATCGATGTTTTTTTAACACTTTTTTAATGGTTTCACTTGTATGTTTGTTTGTATGTAATCAAAGTCTTTGAGCTCTATGTTACACTACTTCTAGGGAACAGATTTTATTTAAAACATTGTCCACATAATAGTGATTAGAGAAAATGCCAAGTATTATCTCATTATCCTGATTATATTTGTCAGAATTCGTCATTTTTTTCCCATCCTATGCTTTGTAATATAATTTTTGTAAAACGACCACCCCACGCCTTGTTCACAATATTGTTGATATTTTTCGTTCATTATTATTTTCTGCCTACATGGAAATTTATTTCACATTTTTTAGTTTGTTTTGTTATTTTTAGTTTTATGCAATAAAGTGTGTTTTTTAGTTTTTTATTTATGTTATATTATGATATTAAAATACCATTTACTTTTGACCTTTTCTATTGACATTAATATTAATTAGTACAACATAGACATTTTAGAAGTTAAATATTAATATTTATTTACAGATTATTGAGTTTCTTTTATTAACAGTAATGAGGATGACAATGAGATCTAAGACTTCTGGGGGGTTTTCCTTGAAATTAAACTTATATTTTCAGATCTACTAATCGTTTTTCATGTTTTAATTACATACTTCTCATTTTTTTTCTTATCTCATTCCGTCTGTCCTTGATCACGGGTCTTATAAGTAAACCGAACATATGAGTTTTAATTCAATGAGGTTGATAGTTAAATTAATTAATAATCATAGTTATAAGATAACCGCGATAAAAAATACAAAAAATAAACGAACCTGACGCTCCATTGGACCCACAACAAAGCAACAGATGAAACACAACAAAGCAGCTACTGTTAACATTTTATTAATATTAAAGCAACAGTCTGTACTGAGATGCACACGCGACTACCTCAGAGCTAACACACTACTGAGAATGAATCCCTGAACGAATGTATTTATGATCTTATAAACATTGCAGCGTCCTCAACCGGAAAAGGATGAAAAAAGGTACCGTTTGGTGGTCGACAAAAAACACATATATAAAGAAAAAATAAAGAATTTGATAAATTTGGATCATTCTCCAGTTAGTATATCATAAACAAGTCTATATGAGCGAAAATATAACGTCAATATGAATAGAAATTGGCCCTTAAATACATAGAAAAATAGTTTAGCAATAATTGAAAAACAAAAGCATGTAAGGTCAACATAATAAATTATTTTATGCACGGTATCCACTTGAGTTTTTCTATTTCATTAAAATAATTATTGACAACCATCAGACCAGCCGCTGTTTCAAACTATTACAAGACATATTATAATAAAGTCAATTAAGATTAATTATAATGTATTATGTCGTTATTTTATAAAATATCTATTATAAGAAGGACCTTTACTTGTTAAAGACATAATTTCAACGGTATTATTCGTTTATACACACATATAATTCATCATCATCATCATCAGCCTGTCAGAGCCCACTGCTGAGCAAAGGCCTCTTATCACATGGAGAAGGTTTGAGCATTAATCACCACGCTTTCTCGAGAGGGATTGGTGATTTCAAACTTATTATTTGAAATTATAATTCCACGTTTTCTCAGGGTCTTTTGTGTTCTCAGACCAGAGTTCGATACTTCTTGTCTCAAGCAATCAGACGGGCAATATCAATTTATTTTTTTATACATAACATGGTTTAAACAACATATCTTGAGTATTGCTGTTTGTTTTTATATTATATTTATTTTAAGGCTGACTAGATAAGTTATATGAACTTCATATGAATTGCTTGTCGTAAATCTCCACTTATCACAATATATGTATATTTCAAATCTCAGATTTTTTTAATGCTCCATTCGCACTGGAATCGTGGAAGATTTTGCCAATGTCAACTTTTTTATTCATTGGACGAATTATAATCTTGAATACTGTGTGGAGGAAACAAAGTAGTTTGTCGAATTGAATAAAGATCTTTATTTAATTTATTTTTTTAAGATGACTCTAGTTATATTTTAATCAGAATCTAAAATAACAAAAAAATATTTTAATAATAATCCAAACGTCTTAGTTAGTGTATAGAAAATTGTTAAGGGAAGTACCTACTAAAGTTTTATGTTATAGATTTAATAAACTTTAATTTAATTATCTCTTGTTGATCACGAAGTTGGTTTTGCTAATGATTCACTTATCGTTCACTATTTTGAAATGCAATTGTAAAGACCAATCAAAAAATTATTCTACAAATTATTATTTTCCAATACTATCGATATAATATAAGTTGTTCCACAAACAAAAGCTTTTATGTGTATATGCACTTTTATAGTGTTTACTAGGCTTGCTTTAATTGGTTAATTATTTTACAAACTTTATATTTATTACAAACATTATATTATATTCAATTATTTTAAGGTGTTTTTTGTCATGAGAGGTTAATGAACTTTAAATGACAAGTAAATGAGAAGTCACAAATAATTATATTCTTTAAATGTCTAGATTGAAAAGTCTCCAATTGTCTGTTTAAATCGTGATAGACAGTCTTGTTTTGACATTTGACTTTTTATATTTTTCTTATCTAATATGTATTTTGAATTGTATATTTAGAAACGGATATTAATAAACTTTGAATCACTTAATATGCATGAGGTTTGTGAGGAATGACCTTAATGAATGGAAAAAGTATAGTTTTTGCTTTTATTCAAATAAAAAAAGTTACATGCATTGTGTATTTGTATCTTTTAAAATATATATTTTATCTTTAGTGACATTTAGAATATATATTTTGGGAGAAAAAAACATTCCCTGATTGAACTAGGCATAACTGTTATTTCTGTTGCATTTATTCAAGGAGAGGAGTATTCCTTTCAACTAATAATGGGGTTTAGTGTTAATATTCTTATCCACCAATTTTTATCGATTATAGTTAAATTTCTATTCAATCATTATAGGTGAATTATTTATTATATTATGACGTATATATTTAATCTCTAACATACATATATCTCTATCACATTCCTCTTATCTTCCTTTATAGATTCAGGAGCCCATTGAACTGCTTCACCTGTCTGTAGGCAGCCACTACTCACTCCGTGGTCTCCCAATGGTCGTGAACATTGAAGTTTCAGAATATTGCTCTTCTTCCAATGCCGGCGCTATGAAATATACTGTCCGCAGCCATTTGCTCAAATGACTCCAGGAAATGATTCTTACAGAGAGATGTGAACAGTTATTTAAAAGATCAGTATGTGGAAGTAGTACTTCTGGTTTTTTAAATGTCCATAAGCTACTGATATACTGCTTTAACAATGATGTAATATAAAAAAGTGATAACTTTGATCATATACTTCATATTCTTAAAATTTAATTATAAGACTATTTCTTGCTCACTATTAATTCTTACTATATAATATACTAATTAACTGGTATGTAATAACATAAATCTTATAAGCGAACCCATATCTTTTCTAACTAAATTCTTGTACAATATACTTTTCATAGAAATTATTACGGTGATAGCTTGTAGAAGTTTGAAGAAGCAAAGCATCCACACTTTTGGAAGTTGGGTGAACCACCTATCCACATTCAAATTACCCTTAAAAATGTGTAGTGATAACGTCATTGCACTTTTGCAATATTTCTAAATAAAGTGATTCTGGAAAATTATGAGAGATTGTAGTGTTATTATTTCTGACGAGGCTTCTTGAAGTGTCTGTGAAGTCCAATCCAATGGATGCACAAATGAGCAAATTAAATTTCATATTCTTTCCAAGTTCGTCATCGCTAGTTATTTATAAATCTGTTGTCACAATAGTGATAGAGAAGAGGCAGTGCATTACACCAGAAAACTTTTGAATTTTTTAACACCTCCAGGTAAGACGCCACATATATTGTCATTAAAAGTAGGTGCCCCTATCATATTACTTGAAAAATTGTGGCCACCAAAATTGCAATGAGACAAGACTCAAAATAGTCAATTTTAAAACCTTTTGATTGAAAGTTTTATTAACATTAACGGCCGTTGTTGAAACTGTTTTCAATCTAAGAAATTCAATGATACCATCAAAATTTAAACTGCTAAAATTTCCCGTCAAAATATCTTTTGGAATAATAATTAATAAAGCGCAGGGTGTAACATCAAAATTTTATCTGGAGTAGACCTAGGAACACAGTGCTTTGTTTTGAGTGCTTTTCGCACGGACTGTTATATGTCGCACTATGCCGCATTACCTGTTTACAAAATTTGTTCTATTCTTCACAGGATCATTTCATTAATGTTGTACACGAAGAAATATTGTATTTTTTGATATTAAATATTTTTTTAAATGTATGCTGTTAGCCCTATGGCTTTACAGCGTCACCGGAAGAGTGAGCCAGTGTTGGGACCGGCCCGTTTCCAAGGGGCCTAAAGGGCCCTTAGGGCACGTACTTTCTAACGCCCTTAGGGGCCGGGCGTCTGCAAAAAGTGAGGCTCGGACCACGAACTTAGGACGTCGTGGTAATATATTACTATTAACATAAAAACATAGTACATCTTCGTTTAAACTTAAAATATGTATAACAAAGAAAGATGATACAATTTATGTTTTTCTTGATTTAACTACAAAAGTATGTACTCGACACTCAACCAGTTCTACCTAACATAGGCTGCTTTATATTTTTTGTAAAGAGGCCGTGCGAAGCCGGGGCGGGTATCTAGTATATAATAATAAAAACATAGATTTATTAATGATCACTGCTTTATTGTGTCAGAAAAAAGTATAAAGTGTCTCAATTAAATTTCCTTTTTAATATTAGTTTAAACTATTTTTTCCCATTCCTTACGTGTCATTTTATAGATTAAGTACGTCATATATTCTTTACTGGATGAAAAACTCACCAGCAGGTACGGCACCAAGTAGGTTGCTCACAGCTTCAACTTCGTATCCAATGATAACTTTGACTATTGGAGGAGAGATTTCTTCCATAATGACCTCCCAATTTGTATTCAACATTTCCAAGACCGGATCAGCTGAAAGAGTATAATTGTCTTTAATTTTATATATCTTTAGCAGGTTAAACTACTTAAAAACTATTCGGGTGCGCGTGCGAGTGTCGGAATAGCGATGACGGACAAGTTTTCCACAGCAAACAATAGACGCAGCGCGCATCCTCGCTATATACAATTTAACAACGAGTTTGTCCGTCGCAAGAAATTAAAAATTCAACTTTTTTTTAACAATTTACAAACGAATATGAAAATGAATATACATTTAAATTTATAATACAAAAATTTTAAATATATTATTCATAATTAATCTAAGTAACTTCACTACATATCTTAATAATACAAAAAAAGGCATGGTATTATTTTTCATTTTATTTAACTTGCACTGTCTCGATATTATAAACAAATATCAACGCCATAAAAATCATAGTAGAATAATTTTAAAGAAAACTATAGTTATCTGAAATTAATTGCGTTATCATTATTTATAACCAAGTTTATTTACTTTATAGCAACTGTAATCAACATAAGACTAGAGGGAAAGTATGGTCACGGTTGAAAAAAAGAAAACCTTTAAAAAAACTCGAGTAGTCCAGTAATAAGTAAAACAGAAACCTTAAATTCAGGATATACAGGGTGACTGGTGAATTACTATCGATACTTGAGGACGTGATATTTGACGATCATATATGACAAAATAAAAATTAATATAACATAAATATTAATAAACTTCTAAGTAAAGTTAACCAAAAGTTATGTAATTAATTACGCACCGTGTGAACACCCTACAGATTAGGTAAACACACACACACACTCACACACGTGCGGCGGCGTGGTGTTGTATCAGCACGCCGCCGCACGCGTCCACACTTGGAACACTTGGTACGTGTCCACACTTTATTTATTTATACGGAAATTTGGTCAAAAATTAAGTACCTATTTTTTTTTACATAATTCGAATGAGAATCATGTACCGAGTATTCTCCTTAAATATTGATAGTAATTCACCAGTCACCCTGTATAAGTGAATAATGTAGTAATGTAATTTACCAAGTACTTTGTTCCCGTTAAATAAGTTATCAAAGTGGAAGGTAGTTCCGTGGTGAACTTTGAATTTGAATGTCTTAGACCAATCGTCGTCGATTTTCCAGTGAGAGACGCCGGATTTTTCAATATAAGACAAATTGAAGGGAGATTTGATTGTGATGCCACCTAAAACATATATCAGATGTCAAAGAAAAAGTAGAAAACATGTTGTAACTTATAAACACCCTACAAAAAATGACAAAACAAATATAATATATACAGTTTTCCTTACGTATATCTATTTTATATTTCCCGTTTCCCTCCACTGGTAGTATCAGCACTTGTCCTTTAACCTCGTAGTCTCCAGTCAAAGTCACGTCACAAGTCAATTTCAAGAGTAGTTTCTTGTCAATATAATCAAACCTACAAAAATAAAACACAATATTGTAAGCATTAAAAATCAAAAACTCATAATCAAAATATACTTTTTTCAAAGAGACATTTATAAGAACTTTTAAACCATCATAAAAACGTTAATTGTCACTGTAATAGTCAGTCAAGGAAGAACCGTGTTTCCACATGAGTTTTTATACAATGATATACTCAACCAAACTATTAAAATCGACATGTGACAGAGTACTGGTTATTTTGTCATAAGTAGGTTTGCATAAATCGAGTAAAACAAAGAATATTACACAAATCCTGGACAGAAACGTAAATCTTCCATATAAATAAGTAGTAAAAGTGGCACAAGAATCCTTCTTCAATACCCGTCCTTAAAATACCATATCCAGATGTTTTCATATATCATTGATATCAACCCTCTAGTTTTGCCGATTTAAGTCACCACATATACTTCTTCTACATGACAATTTCCCAGCTTTAGCCAGGGTCTGCCTTACATGTTGTGAATAGTTTTGGCTAATTGTTTGGCCTGCCTGACATCAACCCTCTTTAGGACTGCAAGTCACCTCATATACTATAGTGATATAAAATATTTGGTTTTTTATGGAGCTAGATCATTCAAACTCATTTTTCATTAAAAATTCAATACGAGTCAAAATCAATCTTTACGAGTTCAGTGTGTTATGTATGCGCAACAGATAAAAAAATAAATGAACATCGCCGGGGCAACATCATTATATGAATAAGATATCATATGAACGACGCTGCTTACTATAAAATAGCCGTTAGCAGCTATTATTTATATAATATTTCAAAAGTCTCACTTGAAATTATCCACAACACATCCCGACAAGCCAGTGAGGGTCGAGTTCTTGAACTTCAGCTTGAGTCCACTCTCATCACTCACTATCAGCGGTATGTACATGGGGTCTAGACTCTTAACTCCTAGTTCAGGTATACCCTTCGCAAATATTGGTAAAGAGGTCTTGGCGGAGGACAGAATACACGCATCGTCACCAACCTTACATAGTGGGAAGAAGGATGGAACTGAAAATAATACATTCCTGATTAAAATATAGGCCATGTATGTGTGTCGTTGAAGTTGTCTTTGTACAATAAATTTGTATAAAATGTATCAAATATTACTTATTACGTGTTCCATTTGTCTTTGCAATTAATATGACGATATCTAGGAGGAACGGAATTTATTAAGAAATTTTTTGACATTTGTTTTCCAAAGAAAAGAAAGGCTCGATTCGACTAATCTTTACTGCTTTAATGAAATTATATCATTTTTAGAATACGATTATTTTAAGAAAAGACAAATCAAATAAAAAAGAAGATTATCGCTTAAACTGAATAAAAAACAAGTTTTTTAACGTTGTTTATTTAAAAAGTATTCCATGTGTATCTATATAAAATTGCTTTTCCTATTTTTTGTTCAATATTTTATTGTTATTTTAATGGCACATAATATATTTAGATCCATTAACCTAAGACCCGGTAAAACAACTATATCGATGTTTATTTTTTTAATACATTTTTATAAGATTCATTTGTATGTTTGTTTGTATCTAATCAAAGTCTTTGAGCTCTATGTTACACTACTTCTAGGGAACGTATTTTTTTTTATTTGCCACACAATAGTGTCACATAATAGTGACTGGTGAAAATGCCATGAATTATCCCATCTTCGTCATCGGCCCATTACAGCCCACTACTGAGCAAAAGCCTCTTTCTCATATGGAGAAGGTTTGAGCATTAATCACCACGCTTGCTCAAGACTGGTTGGTGATTTCAAACTTACAATTGTGAAATTTTAAGTCCAGGTTTCCTCTCGATGTTTTCCTTCACCGTCTGTCAGTGATGTCAAAATACTCTTAGAAAATACATATGACTCGGAAAAATTACATTGGTACTTGCCAGGATCGAACCAGCGCGTTCATACATGAGAGGCGGGCCTTTAACGTCCTATGCCTTGTGATATAATTTTCGTAAAACGACCACCACACTCCTTTTTCACGATAGTGTTAATATTTTTCCTTCTTTATTATTTTCTACCCATTTGGAATTGTTTTTCACTTTTTAGTTTGATATTTAGGCCAGTGTAAAATTAATTAAAAGTGCAAAAAATAATAGAAGAATGAAACCCGTTAAAAAAGTAGGGGAATATTATAAAAATTAAAGGAAAAATGATTTACGGCCGATCTGATGTCTGAGGTAAGAAACGAAGGGTAGGAAGGGTAAAAATATTGAAAAAGCACCCTCATTTTCAATTGAAAAATCACTCGTCAAAATATTTTTTGTTCATTGAAATCTCTTTTTTTTGATGGTACGGAAAAATATAAGTTTCTTATTTGTAGTACCATTTTTGGATAAAATAATCATGTCCCTTTTAATGATATGACACGGGATATTTTGAAAAAGATCTTTCAATTTATTTTTAATAGTTTAATGTCAATTTTCTGTAAATTAAAGAGAAACTTTCAGGAGGTATTTCAGACTTCACAACTAATTTAATTACTAGTTAAATTACTTATGAATAATGAGGATAAAAATAAAAGACAACGAACCTGATGCTCCATTGGACCCTAAGATGAAACACAACAAAGCAGCTACTGTTAACATTTTATTAATATTAAAGTAACAGTCTGTACTGAGATGTACACGCGACGACCTCAGAGCTAACACACTACTGAGAATGAATCCCTGATTAAATGTTTTTATATATTCCTGTTAGTATAATATCATAAGCAATTCTATATGAACAAAAAATATAACGTTAATATGAATAGAAAATAGTTTAGCAATAATTAAAAAACTAAGCCATGTAAGGCCAACATAATATATGTATTATTTTAACACTCGAGTTTTTCTATTACATTAATATAATTATTCACAACCATTAAACCAGCAGCGGTTTCAAACTATTACAAGACTTATTATAATATAGTTAATTAAGATGAAGTATATTGTATAATGTGTTTATTTTATAAAAATAACTATTATTAATAATAAAGAAATAATTTCAATAGTATTATTCGTTGATATACAAATATATTTCATCATCATCATCTGCCAGTCAAAGCCCAGTGTTGGGGAAAGGCTTCTTCTAATATAGAGAAGGTTGAGCATTAGGCTACTTATTTCAAACTATAAAGCATGCTTTAATTGAGCGCTTGCTGCTTACTAGAATGTGTGTCCAAATATTGCTTAAAATAAGCATGCTTATTTGGAGTATGCTTTAGAAACGATAAGCATGCATGCATTAAGCATTCTACTAGCAGCGCGGGTGCAAGGAGGCGTGCCTGAAGCACGTCTAAATGACATGACCTAGTAATCCCGATAAAAAACATTAACTTCGATGCTGGATAAACTCAGCGCCATGGATTTCATATTAAAGCACCCTTAACCGGGATTAATTTTCTTACTGACATAAATTTCCTTTATATTGCCGGACTTTATAGGGACATCAGAAAAACATTAAATTCAGAAGAACATTGATTTTTTGGGCACTTCTGAGGCTACCTTACGGGAGTGCCTACAAACTTCTTTCCATTATGTATCCTCCTTAGTACGTCCCTCAATAGTACGTTTATTGAGCAAATAATTAACATTTTTAACCGTTATATTTTTATTGGGGTACCATTGAATAGTTTTTTCTTATGAAAATCCTAAGCAAGCTCTTTATAACTTTACAAAAAAGGAGATTTTACAAATACCATCCCTGATATAAAGAGCATACTATATTTTCATATTACATTATGTTCATAAATTAATTAACTGAGACTTTATTCCGCCTTCTGTGATGTACATAATTATAAAATAAACAAGAGACAGCGACAACTGCACTCAATAACTGTGTGGAATAACAAAATATTTTTTATTTTCATTTTAAAATATTATTGTCTCCTGTGAATTCGTACATGCCTGACTGTTTTATACGCAGCGATAAATAACGTTGCATTATTCATCAATCTTGTGGCACTCAGATTTTAGACTTTTTTACATATTTTTTTTGAGATTTGTTTATAGAAGTTGAATAAAATTAATAATATTAAAATACAATACTGTATTTATTAAAGATTAATGTATATATTTAATTATTTTTTATAAAAAGAATTCTAGTGTGTAAACATATAAAACGTAAATAGTGTTTGACGTGTGTATCGATCAAAAAATTCAATGAAATTTCTAACGTTACATTTAATAGATAAAGTATTTCTTGTTTCTATTTCTATTGGTTTTTCTTTATTTTAATAAAAAGTCATCAGCGGGTACAGCACTATACAGCGTGTTCACAGCTTCAACTTCTTGTCCAATGATAGCTTTGATTATTGGAGGCGAGATATCTTCCATAACGTCCTTCCAACTTGAGTTCAACAATTCCAAGACTGGATCGCCTGAAAAATAGAGGTATTTTTTTTATAAATTAACATGAAATTAAAATAAAAAAATTAAAATTCAAACTGCCAGTTGGATAGTTCAATGTTCTCATTACTAAACTTTTTTTTGAGTTCCGGAACAGATTTATCTCGACACAAACTTTATCAAACAATGAAAAATCTTGATTATCATGTGTACTAAATTAAACACTGTTAATACTGCCATTCTTTCAGTGTTTTGCAAATAACTCTTATTGAGAAATAAAATGTAAGTCAGTAAAACATTTATAACATTAAAGAAAAAAAATAATGCTACTGTTACACATGCTATCAATAAGCATGATATTAAGAATGCTCAACACAAGCGTGCCTAGAAGCTGTTTACATTTGCGGGCTATAAGCATGATAGTTTTAAGTTTTGCTCTTGAAAAATTATGTCCAAAGCAGACGTTCCAAATACACTTGCTATTTTATAGAGTGCTTTTCGCGCTCTCTGTCAGTTCAAACAAAGCCATGCAAAATCAAAAAACTATCCCTATGGAGATGAATAAGATCATCCTTTTGCTGGAGAAGCTATGCATCCCAAAGCTTATGCCAGGTTGCCAAAACCCAAAAAGAAAGAGAGTAATTTGGGTCCGTAATTGGATATTTAGAAGACGGAACTTTGGAGCTGGTGCTTAAGCGAGGAGAAGATGTTTCGGGTCATAAAAACTATTTGCGAATGCTACGACATTAAATTGACTGTTTACTCTCTAAAGTTAAAACCTGAATACAGAAACAAGATATCTAGCATGCTCAATAAGCAAATCTGTTTAGACGTGCATAAATCAAGTCCCCTTGCACCCGTACCGCTACCAGTGTGCTTTAAAATCGCACTCCTGTCGATTTTAAAGTATGCTCCAAATTAGCTTGCTTATTTTGAGCAACATTTGGAAACTCATGCTACTAAGAAGTGTTCCATTGAGGCATGTATTCGTGCATGAAATAAGCATATGATTAAGTAGCCTAATTTTAAATCAGGAGGTTTTGTGGCACAAAAAACTATTTTGTATATTAAACTAGTAACTAGAATTTTATGTTTTTTGAGATAAGTTGATACAAAATGTTCTAAATTTCAAGAATTATAATTATGTAGTAAAATAATTTACCAAGTATTTTGTTGCCGTTGAATAGGTTTTCGAAGTGGAAGACAGCTCCGTCCCGAACTTTGAATTTGTAAGTCTCAGACCAATCGTCGTCTATTTTCCAGTGAGTTACTCCGGAGTTTTCGAATTCATTCAAATTGAAATTACATTTTACCGTGATGCCACCTTTAAAAACGTATGTATATTAAAAAAATACAATAGTTTAGTACTCAATAGTTAATAAAACATTTTCCATAATACTGCTCAATTAAATAATTAAATCAGGTAGTTTTATATATATAATTTTCCTCACGTATATCTATTTTATATTTTCCATTTCCCTCCACTGGTAGTATCAGCACTTTTCCTTGAACTTCGTAGTCTCCGGTCAAAGAGACGTCACAAGTAATTTTTAGCAACTGCTTCTTTTTGATATGATCATGTCTAGAAATTAAAACGGGATTGATAAAAAATATCCTTATGAGATAAAACATGAGATTAAGGGACAAATTCAATAATGATGCATCAAGAATGTTTTGAATTTTAACACGATAACAAAATTTTTCTGATCATATTGACGTCCTTCAATTATTCTTATATATTGTTCAGTTTCAATAGAGATTTTCCGCATTTAACAGGATTATTTTAATATCCTTACATAATGCTTTTGGAAACATAGGCTTTTAATTGTAAATCTGCGATAAATTATTCGACTCTCAAGAAAACAAACAGCTATTGTTTATAAATGATATGATATTTCAAAGTTCTCACTTGAAATTATCCACAACACATCCCGACAAGCCAGTGAGGGTCGAGTTCTTGAACTTCAGCTTGAGTCCACTCTCATCACTCACTATCAGAGGTATGTACATGGGGTCTAGACTCTTAACTCCTAGTTCAGGAATACCCTTCGCAAATATTGGTAGAGAGGTCTTGGCAGAGGACAGGATACAAGCATCGTCACCACTCTTACATAGTGTGAAGAAGGATCCAACTGAAAATAACATTTTTCTAATTATGCTAAATCGTACGTTTTGTATGTGGATGAAGATTTGTGTGTTATAAATTAATAATATATCGAACGGCTTGGATTATCCGGTTCATGAATACAATTTAAATTACAACTTGCAGTTAAAACCTTAAGGAATAAAAAAGTATTGTCTAGACATAATTTTTAGATAAAATTTTTTTTATATACTGATATATTAAAGATTTTTATTCGTCAAGACGAGAATTCTAAATATAAAATTCATGCAATGAGCTTAGAAATGCAGAATGAGTGTGCAAACATAGGAGATTTTTGCATCCGATTAACACTAAAATAGCGAACTTTAATTCATGATTTCCAGATGACTATCAGATCAGAATAATTTAGTATGATGTTGTAGATGAGGGTAATAATTAAATAAATATGTAAAATTCACCTAAGGACCATAAGAAAATTCCCTATATACAAATAAAATAAAAAACACATATTTCTTTATTTTGTCACTTAACAAATATTTAATAATATTACAGGAACAAACAAAAATAAAACAGACAAAAAATAACCAAAATACGAAAAAAAATAAAACATGTACCCACCTGAGACTGTTTCTGAAGTTACTATGAAACACAACAAGGAAATTACGATTAACATCTTAACTATATAATAATCACTCCGTGCACCTGAGAGATAGTCTTGTGACTACCTCGGAACTAGGCCGCTTTACTAACCGAATTCTTGATCGAATGCATTTATGGTCATATTACAATTTCCGCGTAAAAAAACATTTCAAAACGAAGGTCGTACGAGCTGAGACATAAAAAATAAAATTTAAACAAGATTTTATTCGAATCAACTCAACAAGCCCTTTTATTTCATAACTATAAATTAAATGTGTAATAAAAATAACTATGTAATTATTTTGACAGTACAAGTGTTGGATGCATAATGGCTATACCTAGGCATTTTTGTCATTAAAACTCACTGAAAATTCAATATATTTAGCACCAACCGTTAAAGGCTTTTTCTTTTTAAAAGGTATATAATTAATTCAAAATCGAGTAACTAAGTCCACCAATAAAAATGTAAACACATAATTCTACAGACAGATAACTAAAGGACAATAAGATAAGAATATAGGAGGGTAAAAATGTTTTGAGATATTTTACTTGTCAGATCAGTATAATTTAAGTTTTTTATTTTGAATTAAAGAAACTAGTTGATTGTTTATTATTTAATATATTTTAAGGTTTATAAAAATGCTTGATATAAGTAGATATATAATGACCACAGTTGTGATAAATGCATAAATATTTTATTAAAGAACGGAAATTAATCCATATATATATTACTAGCTTTCCGCCCGCAGCTTCGCCCGCGTGGAGTTCGGTTATATCGCGTTTCCAAAAGAACCTTTCAAAAATCTGACATAAAAATTATCCTATGTTCATTCTCAAGGTCAACTCCATTTTTGTACTAAATTTCATTAAAATTAGTTATAATATTAAGTAGGGATTTATGTCATATAAAATGAGGCTCAAAGCATATACAAAAAAATAATAATTGTATTTTTTTATTGGACCTCGATTTTACTTAAAATGTATTGCATAGCCTTAAGACTTATTATTTTTGTTTAAATTAATTGTGAAACCGGTTTAGTGACTACAAGAATGGAACTTTTATAACTCCAACTTAAATAACAACAAAAGTTAAATATTGGTCTCATTTTATTGAGTGATATTGAATTAACTATAAAAAATATTCACAACTATAAGAGATCCACATTAATTGGTATATTAATAAAGTTATTATGTGTGCAACCCAACAGACGTCACTGAACACGTAGTGCTCATATTTTTTCGGTCACATTATATTTGGTCAAAATATCATAACATTTTTCTTTTTAATAATGGTGAACTATTTTTTGAATAATATTTTAAAACATTACAAGCTATCTGATAGTCATGACGTAGTTTATTAATATGTAGACATTGATAAATATGGAATAAATAAAATATATGAAATGTAACATTCAGGTAATATTTTTTTTTGTATTCAACATATTAATCTAATGCGAGCTCTTCGATAGGAATTTTATTGAACAGCTTCGTCGTTTCGTTCACTATCTGAGAGACTATCGCCTTCACTATCGGCGGGGAAACTTCCTCAAAAATTATGTGCCAGTTTTGATTCGCGTAGTCCAGGATTTGTTTGGCTGAAACACAAAGATTATTGTTATAAAAATACCCCAAATACATAGTACTTTTTGTTGAAAAAATTGCACAGAAAGAAACTCAGATTTTTTTTTTGTTGGTACCAATTCTAATACTATAGGTACTATTATAATTAGGTTTTCATTCTTATATATATATATATACCTCTTTTTTATTTTTTCCTTCAATCATTTATTGTACCAATTCCACATTTCTCTTCTCATTTCCTCTATCAAAAGGGTTTCTGGTAGAGATCTCTTTTAAGAGATAAGTTATCCTTTGTACATCATATTTCTTTTATAATACTTTAATTGTAACTATTTTTTCTTTTTGGTACATAAATAAATAAATAAATATACCATATTCTTTGTTATCTTACCTAAAGCTACGTTTCCATTGAAGAGGTTGTGAAAGTTAAATCGCACTTGTCCCGTCACGTCGGCTGAGTGCTTCCAACTATCAATAGTCCAATATCGTTTTCCTTGAGCCTCACGCTCGCCCACGTTGAACTTCACTTTTACTACTATATCGTCTGCGGAAAGAAGCTTCAATTACAAATAATCTACAACCTTACCTTGTAACTGAAAATAGGTACGACAAACTAAAGAAAATAGATATATATTAGGCTCACGAATGAATATTGTGTAGGGTCCAACTCCCGATATGTCCATGATGAGTAACTTCCCGCCCAGTGTGTACGAGCCCTTCAAAGCTACCGAGCACTTCAGAGTTATGGTTGTATTACCAGTCATACGTCTTCAAACAAAGTATATACAACTGTTAATACTACAGCTGGGACATAGGATTTTTGAGAAGAAAATACTTCAAGAAGAATTTTGCCACTTATAACGAGGGCTAAGTATTGAAATAAATGAATTGGATTGTATTTTTGACTTGTATATTTTACTTACACCAAATCGAGAACCGTGCAATGTTTTAAGCCCAAAACTTTAGTATTGGTGAAGTGCATTTTAAGTCCGGCCCTATTAGCCTTCACCTCCTCCATATCCATAGGATCCAAAGGTTTCATTCCCAAGCTGGAGATCCCGTTAGCTAGGATCGGAACCGCCGCTTGAGCTGATAGCTTCAAACATGCTCTGTCGTCCCTGTGACATGGTGTGATGAAATGATCTGTGAATTATAATCACCGAATCATTAGATGAGGTGATGTTTATGCAATGAAAGATTTAAACAATCAAAACGGGGATAAAGTATTTGTATTGTTTTTAAAATGATAATTTGTGGCGGGAACTGGTGTTTTTGGATATATTTTATATAGACGTAGGGACTACCAATAGTTTGAAATTTTGGCTACCAAAATTCAACACTCGAGGCTTACATAATTAGATTTCGTAAACATCCAGGCAGGAATATTTAAGGTCATTTACTAATTTATATTTATAACTTTATATTACTAAATAATTATACCATACTATTTGATACACAATTTGTAAAATATGGATTTTTGTTATTAGTATTGTAAAATATGGATTTTTGCTATTAAAAATCCCATGTAACCATACCCTATGGACATATTATGCGAAGGGATGAATATGAATGTGGAGGGATATGTGGGTTGACGTAGACTTAAGAAAAAATGGATGGATTCCATGAAGGATGACATGGCTAAGAAAGGGGTAAAAAAAGGGATGAGATGACCCTACATAAACTGGGATTAGGGCAGGAAGAAGAAGAAGAAGTACCCATACCCTGGGAACCAGTAAAAAAATCATATCGATTACTTACAACGATATATATAGATCTCAGACAGTAATTCGTTTTAATTTTCTCTAGATAACTTTTTAATCTTCATTCTAAAACATATGTATCTTACTTCTCGTATCATATGCCTCTTGTTTCGGTCTTACAATCGATCATAGTAATTTCCGATATAACCGATAGTGAAAATAATAAAAATAATAAATAAAAAAAAAATAATGTTTAAAAATATTAATTCATAAATATATTATGTAAATACATGCTATTTATTTATAATGATGCTGTCAAAAGTATGGAGCCAAAGGTGTGAGCCAAAGACGTATAAGTAAATACCGACATAATATAAAAACGTATTTTTCCTAGAGTTAAAAATTTTCCACATCGGCATTCCGTGTAAGTAATCTAGATTTAATATATATTAAATGCCATCGAAACGTTAATTAAATATAAGATTAGATGGAAAATATTCTTAATTATCGTAAAATGTTACAAGTAATGGTATTAGAAACACAAAAAAGAGTATAGACGTATACATTTCAATTGAAATAAAAGATGATTCAATAATTCAACCTCAGGTTTGTTATAAATAACGCCGTCAGGTTAGGACTAACTGTTAATACTTATTAAAAAAATTAAAGTGTTTCTTATTTAAATTCATAGCTTTTCACTTATCATGTACAAAATATATAGGACACCTACATCAAAATATAATTACAAAATTTTTGGTCTATCTGTCTGTTTGTTCTGGCTAATCTCTAAAAAGGCTGAATCGATTTATATATATATATATATTATTACCGATTACAAAAGAAATTTATTAAAAAAATCATTGTTACAATATAACTCTTTAATCAGAGACTGATTTTTTAAAATCATGTTGTAAACAAAAAGGCTTGGTCCTGAGATAGTTCCATATGAACCAAAACGGGATCTGATGACGGATCTTCGGGAAATTTAATGAAGCCTCAGTCTTGATAACGTGTATGAAATGGATTTGATATGCAAGCAAAGTCGAAGGCATTAACTATGTAGTTATTTTTTTATTACTTATGGGAAAACATACGGTTTATATAACAATAAATTATTTCGGAAGGAGAAAAGAGAATTTGCCAGAACAGTTTCCACAGTTATTTTGATATGGAGTGTATTATACCTTATATTAGAAAGAAAACAATTTTAGCAAGAACATTAGAAAGAACGAGTATCAAATATAGAATTTACTAAACTAATCATTTGTAAAGAAAGCAAAACAAAAGAAAAAAATTTATGTAACAAAAGAGAAATATTTTACGATTTGTTTAATTTTTCATGTCATGTTCAAATTTTATTTTATTACGACACCACTACATAGTAAAAAGACTATTTAATTTTCGATTATATTAGTAATCAATATTTTAATCTTTTTATCAATTAACCACCAAAAAAAACAGAATTGTAATGGGTTAATGATAGTTTAAAATGTATTTGTTCTCACAAACCTGTTTTTCGTTCTGACTATCAATCATTACGTACATTGTTATCACAGTTTAAATATTATTTTCCAACAGGCGCTAAGATTTTCACTTGAATATTAACAATAATATATAATTTATAAAAAAAAATTATAACCAAGAGTGTGAGTTCAATAGCATTATTTAATACCGGAACGCAATTTACTACAAATAGAAAAAAAAACATCTTTATTGTTTTATAACTGGGAAGTAATAAAAAAAATGCTTATATATTATATTTATAAAATTAGACGAAGAATATGAGAAAGAAAAAAAATTAAATCTCATTAATATTTAAATATAAAATTGAAAAAAATATTATATATTTAAATTTTTTGGTTTATCTGTTCATGTGTTTGGGTCGTTTTTAAAATAAGTAATAAAAATAATTTCTATAATTAGTTATTATTAAACATAATATGAAGCACATTTATGTAATGAGAATTATGAAAAAATTTATTGTGGTATTTACCTGAATCACAGCTTGCAGTCCCCACAAGTAGAATAAGAGCTGTTAACACAAACATCTTGAACAAGGAGACAAATGTTAATTAAGTTACCAAGTCTGTTATATACTGATAACCTGATATCTTTAACCGCAACATTTAAATACAGATAGGGGTAATATATAAAGCAATTAATAGCGAAAACTTTTCTACAACAACTTAAAAAACAATTAAAAAATAAGAAATTAAATATATGTTTATATATTATATGAATACTATTTCGATATATATAAAAAAATAAGCAAATATATCTTTAAACAAATAAACTCCTGACATTAAATCAGGTTAAAAAAAGAGAACAAAAAATCAAATGTTAATGAGATTATAAAATGGATAAGGCGATAATATGTTTGTTTAGTCATATTTTTTAGGTTGAAAAATAAAGTTGAATTTATTTTTTTGTATATATTGTTTTAACACAAAAATCTCAATCGATTTTTATATATTTTTACTACATATAGAAAGCCAATTCAGATAAAAGTCTTGCAACTAATGGGTTTGGTAGTGAAAATGGAAAAAACTTATGTTTAATGGAGACATTTAGTCTTTTATAGCTAACGATGGAAATATTGTTTCGCAGTTTTTGAATAATGTATACCCATGTATGGAGTGGCAATCCAGCGATTTAGGCCCGAATCCGATAGCGCCATAGATAAATTAGCGCTCAGGAAACTAAAACCATCTTTTCATAGAACTCACTACAGAATCTCATGAGAACTGTTCGAAAATTCGGTTGTCTGTGATCTGAAGTTTACCCAGATTACACGTGAAATGTCTATTCTAGAAGCCTTACTTTATTCGCTTCAGAAATGAGAAAATCCGTAGGATAACCAAAATAATTGACTAAACTTTACAGGTAAGGGTTGTTTAAATCAAGTAGTTATAGATTGGACAAATAGTTAGAAACACTGGTGGCCGATGGGTCTTGAAGACTCTCCAATGGTGACAAAATAATACTTAACACTGTAGGTAGACTACCAAAATTCTTAGAGAATAAAAATAGCAAAAAAAGGCGACGTGTCCAACTTCTGAACAGGCCTTTGTTCAGCATTGAGTAATCATCTATGCTGATCAGGCGATGCCTTAAAGCCAACAAAATTAAATTTATACACTTGTAGTTTCTTTAAAATATGAAAAAGTTGTATTAGCAAATATTCAATTCTGCGTTTTAACAAATAAATTACATTAGTTGGGTAAAATTATTGAAATGTGCCTTGTTTTGAACTATAGCCATAACGCTCATCGTATAAATTGCTTTAGCATTATTCCCATCCAAAAATCAACTTTAAAATGTAGGAACAGAATAAGAGAAGTCTGTTACACTTTATTTATTATAAATTATCAATTTTATAACAATTCTAATAATATTATATGTAATTGAAAATAAATAAATATAAATTAAAATAGGTAATAACATTCAAGAAGTTCACATAATTTTATTATAATCCTTTATTCTTTTCTTGTAAATATTTATTGCTAAACATTTCATACATCTAGTTATTTTAGAACATCGGAAATATATAAACAACTATTATAGGTCAGTGATTAACAATTCAGTAACCAATGTTAATATTATAATGTTTTTAACTTGTCATAAAAGAAAACAACGAAAACTTTATCGTTTTACTCATTATATGACAATATTTGTACTAATTGTTATTCTCAAAAATCAATTGCAGTAATTCGTCACCACCACAACTTTATCCACAGTAGTGTGATGTGTGTGAACCACAACTTGGAATATTCACAGTACATTCAAAGCATTCATATCAGGTTTTGCATTAATTGACATGGACTGAACATGGGCTGGCACGACCAGGGAAATACCAACACCTCACAAAAGAGCCAGTTGCCCTTTACTGACATTTCCTTATTCCCACCCCTACCTTTTCCTTCACAACTAAGATTGTCCATGAGTGACGGTGACTACTGCCCATCAAGTACGCATCTCCTTTCCCACCTTTCACATATAAAAATAACACGTGTGAACATTTGTAAACTTACGGTGAGCGTATTGAAGAACTAATTTTAAAACCTACGACTTATTTGTAAGACGCTAGTTACTTTGACTGGCGCTGTAGCTAACAATTCTCTAAGTATACATGGAATTTGTTTTAATTTCACGATGTTCAGATATACTATTGTGAAGAAATGTTTTTAAGAATACTATAGAATACTTTATAAGTTATATATCCAACGAGTAGGTTAATACGAGGATCATTATTCATTTGTATACGTAGCACAAGTTTGTCTCTTAACACTACTTAACGTTTCCCGTTTCTTTTTCAATAACCTATTTTAATACAGTAATTTTTTTTTATTTTTTTTTATGTTAAAGGTGGCAAACGAGCAGACGGCCCACTTGATTTAAAGTGGTTACCGTCGCCCATGGACATCCACAACATTTTGTTGCGGATGCGTTGCCAACCTTGTTTTTTGGCGATAGGGAGGGGAGGGAATAAGGAAATGAAGGGAAAGGGTAGGAATAGGGAAAGGGCAACCGGCTCTCTCACTCATCAGACGAAACGCAGCCGGTAAAGGCTACTTCACGCTGATCTTCTGTGAGAGGGTGGTACTTCCCCGGTCGAGCCAGCCCATGTTCGAGCTGCAGTAACTCACTACAGCTAGGCTCTACCACCTTTAATTGTAATTACCACCTGTAATTTGAGATGGTGAATGAAAAACTGTTAACGCTCAAAATATAGTATGCTAATGTGATCTTAGGTAAGCTTGGTAGCATTGTCATCAGTTGTTAATTTGCCTAAATTTTCTTACCTACATTGAACATATTTCTTAAAGAAAGAAAATAATATCTTTTTACTATATATTAAACACAATTTCAATTGTTATCTTCTATGTGTTAGAATAAATGTAAGAACAATAAAATACATCACAACCATATAAATATTATAGAAAATACAATTGTCTCGTTTTTACTAATAATAAAAAAAGTGGATTAAATATCAGTAAATGTCGTATACAAAGATATTCTTGAATTTAACTTGCGAATGTGGGATAAAAATACCAAGACAAGTTGAAAGGTCCAGTGAATACTCTTCAAAGCTGTCGAAACTTTTGTTCATAAATAAATAAAGGTGAACAATTAGGAAGAAAGAAGTGGTGGCCTTGAGGTTAAAAGCCCGCCACTTGTACATGAGAGCGTGTTCGAAACCTGCATAGTACCAATGTGATTTTTCCGAGTCATATGTACTTTCTAAGAGTATTTAAACACCACTGACAAATGGTGAAAGAAAACATCATAAGGAAACCGGGACTTATAATTACAAAATATAAGTTTGAAATCACCAACCCGTCTTGAGCTAGCGTAGTGAATAATTCTCAAACCTTCTCCATGTGAGAAAGAGGCCTTTGCTCAGCAGTGGGCTACTATGGGCTGATGAAGATGACTAACAATTAAGAAGCATTCATGAAATAGCCTCCACGAACATTCTTAAATTCGTTCAGGACATTGAACTAACTCCGCGACCCGTCTCAGTATGCAAAAACTTGCATCTCGTCCCCAAATAAGTTTAGAAGATGACCTTATATATGAAGATGACATTGTAAACCAGATTTTGTACTAATCCTATAAATTCATTTATTGCCTACAAATATATTTCGATTCATTAACCTTAAACATTAAGAAATAACTCCATGGCAGGTAGTAATTTTTATGATCACACACTTTTACGGATAAAAATGAAATCATTTATAGACCTCTGTACTTAAATTATATTTTAATAAGATATACGTTTAAAAGAGCTATACAATATTTAAAGTTATAATATATTTAAATTAAAATTAAAACGCAATATGATTGGAACCAAAAAAAATATTTTACTGCAGTGCAAAAAATTTATACAATTATCTGTTTTTCCTGTTTTTTATTCAAAAATATAATACAATTAGCTGACTTAATTACAATACTTCATGTCAATGTCAAATCAAGACAATATGTTATATGAAATACGGAGATGACGATAATTTACTCTCATTATGATTCGTTATTGTAGTTACCTTTTAGAATTGTTCAATTAAATTTAATTTCCCGAGACTTTATGTATGAAAAAAGATAATATACTTCCTGATATTAAAATTTCATTACCGTCTTTATATTTAAGAGCGTAAAGTCAGTGGTGGCCTAGTGGGTAAAAGGCCCGCATCTCATGCACGAGGGCGCGGGTTCGATCCTGGCCCGGGCAAGTACCAATGTGACTTTTCCGATTCATATGTACTTTCTAAGAGTATTTAGACACAACTGACAAACGATGAAGGAAAACATCGTGCGGAAACCCGGGCTTATAATTTCAAATTATAAGTTTGAAATCACCAACCCATTTTGAGCAAGCGTAGTAATTAATGCTCAAACCTTCTTCATGCGAGAAGAGGCCTTTGCTTAGCAGTGGGCTGCTATGGGCTGATGATGATGATGATGAATAATTAAGATACCATTCATGAACTAGCCTCCAAGCATTAATGCATTCCCAAAAGAGGGTTGATGTCAAGCAGGCGGTCGGTCGTATAAAAACAATTAGCCAAAACTGTTTACAACATGTTCTATGGAAGAGAAGAACATGTTGTGCCGACCCTACATAAAGAGGGATCAGGGCAGGAAAAGAAAATATTTAAGAGCGTAAAATCAAACCTTAATAAGACTTCGTAGATAGAGACTTCGACAATCATAGATTTTAGGAGAAGTGAATAAAAAATTATAAGATAAATCGTCTTATTCCATTTAATTTCAATAAGAAATCCTTATTCATACATGACTTTGTTAAATTCTTAAAAGAATACTTGGTTCAACAATAATACATTACTGCAATTTAGTTCGTAACCTTCTCAAAAAAACTTGTATTTTATTATATTTATTGTTATTACCTACATACCGTGCCTAAATTAAGCTGAAACAAAAACTAACTGACCCGAAAATACAACTAGTATGAATTACGAAAATAAAATTTCGATAAAAAATATTAGCAACGTTTATCTCTATAACTAATCAAATATTAATTGTTTTAAGT